GACGCTTGATGCCCTAAATCTTGTTTCCCTCCATTCAGAAGCGACAGCTGGGATTCAGGGGAAGTGCAGCGGCTACTGTTGGGAGGTGGATTAATGCTGTGTGATTAATTATGCGTGGCTTCCCAGAATGTGCGGGCCCCTTCCCCAACACCGCGCGCCTCGCCTGGCCCTGGCGCAGCCTGGCTGAGAACCTTGCTCTTACAGAGGCTGGGGAGGGGAGGGTGGGAGGCGCCACTTCTGGGCCTCAGTGATGGGCGCAGCCTGGCCGTGAGCTGAGGCTGAGGCTTATGCCTTTGTGCTGCCCAGGCTGAGAGGGCTGTGTCTCGGGGTGCAGGCTGCCCGGGCTGTCCTGTGCCTCGCTCCCTGGCATCTGTGCCAAAACCCTTCAAGTCTTCAAGGCGACAACGCTGTGGGCTCTGCTTCTCAAAGTCTGGGGTGTTGTCTGTGAGCCCCATGCAGCCCAAGCTTGGCCACCAATAAGGGTTTTGTGCCTGGCCCTGCCTCCTCCAGGGGCCTGATGCCCCTCCTCCTTGGTGAGAAGCCTGCCTCAGTTTGGCCTGGCACTTGGCCGAGCTCTGCCCACAGAGGACCATTGTGCTCGCCCCATGAATCCCAAAGACAGGCGGAAGTGCCAACCTCTGGGCAGCAGGGTTGGAGGCCAGGGCCACAGCCAGCCCTGGTGAGAGAGGCACAAGGCCAGGATGCACTGCAGTTTGGGGTGCAGTGAGGCTCCCTCTCAGGGCCTAAACACTTTCATGTGTCCCCATACTCCTTTTGGGGGCCTCTGCCTTCCTGTTACCACCCCCTTGGCTCTCCTGGCCGAAGGAAGAAGCCTTGTCTTCTCAAGGTTGTCTGGGGTGCAGCCTCCAGCCATGGCCCAGCAAGCTTCTTGGCTTTCGGTGCCACTGCTGTGAATAGGTCAGGGAAACGTGGAGTCACTGTGTGTGCCTGGTGAATCATCTCTTTCCATCCAGAGAGAGGGATGTTTCCCAGGCTGCTGGTCAGGAGGCTCCGGGCTCAGGGTTGGAAAAGTGGACTCTGTTGGTAGTAGCCATCTCCCTAGAGGGCCCTGGGTCACTGAGACTGGGCAGTGCCTGGCCGTGCAGGAAGGCCTCAGTGCGCGTTCTGTGGGTGGGGTGTTATCCCTGGACAGCTGCTGTGTGCAGCAGGCTGGTGGCTTCAGTGGAGGTTGGTGGCCCTTGGGGCTGGCCAGACTCACTTGCCAGCTTCCTTGCCGGCCCTGAGTGCCAAGGGCAGAAGAGCTGGAAGCACCCTTGCCCTTTGAGGGTGTATGTGTCCACCAGCTGCCAGTTGTGGCTGCTGGTTCTGCGTTGGGGGCAGAGGCACAGGGTGGCTAAGCAGCTCTCTCTGCCTGAATGGTCAGAATGTCCTGGGGGCATCTGTCTGTGTCACAGAAGTCTTGTGAGCCCTCCTGCCCAGACAACCCAGAGGGAATAGTATGCAGCTATGGACAGTCTTGTGTTCGAGGCCACGATCTGCTGCCCACCAGCTTGGTGACCTTTGGTCTTTAGTCACCTGAGCCTCAGTTTCCTGTGTGTAAGGCGGGGTTGATAGGCGGTGAATGTCTCAGTGGTAAGGATCACAGAGGATGGATGGCTGTCTGTTCCTCCCTGCTGGAGCTGGCAGAGCCTCATTCTGAGTGCTTTGTTGGTGAATGAGTTTGTTCAGAGAGCCCAAAGGGGCTTCCTTCTGGGCACTGCTTGGGGAGGACTTTGAGATTTGGGGGGGTTCTCCCGTTCTCCCACCCTCACCCCAGCCCGCCAATGGCTCTAGTTGGCTGCCTTTGCTTCCTTCCCTGGATGCTTGAAGCACCTGCTGAGTGCTGGGTCACTCCCCGAGTGTGGTGCTGAGCTGGGGCAGGGCTGCAACAAGACACGTTCAGCCTCCATGCTGGTACTGCTTGGAGAGACAGCCAGCAGGGAAAGTGATGTGCATGGGGCGGGCCTGCTCCAAAGTGCTGTGTCAGGGTCCCCAGCAGCTACATGACACCGTCCCATTCAGGCCCCAGAAAGTGAAGAGGAAGAGGCCCAGGCAGGCTGGCCAGGGTGGCCCAGCAGCCACAGCTCCCCACCACTATGCCCCTTTTGGTCCAGAGCAAGGAAGCGGGTGAGGGGTGACTTAGGGGCCAAGGCCTGGGCAGGAAGCGAGTCTCTGGGCTGGGAGGGCCTAAGCAGAACCCATGTGTCTTCTGTCGCCTGGCTCTGCACTGCTCCTCTGAATCACCTGCCACCTTGGGTAGGGAGGTGCTGCTGGTTTCGTCGTCCCTTGGGGTGAGGACCCTGTCTGGACCCTGCTGCTGCTCAGGCCGGGAAGCCAGGACCCAGACGGAGGGCCCGTCTGCTGCAGAGCTGGGGAGATGCAGGAGTGGGGCTGGGGTGAAGGAGCCTTCGGGGACAGCCAGTGCTTTCTGAGGAGAAAATGATAATAATGTAAAAGGGCAGAGAGAGAGTAGGTGAAACTCCAGGGGGAAGGGGATGACTGGTGGACAGGGAAGCCCATTTTGGGGTGTGCAGTGGGTCTGGGACCCCCAGAGGCTGGGACAGTGGGGGAATCTCCACCAGCATCATGTCTCGGCCACAGATGGCAAGCCTCTGTAAACGGGCACTGGCTTAGGCCCACAGAGGGCAGGGCTAAGAACCTCTCCTGTCTTGTGTCTTGTCTATAAATAGTGAGAGGATGTGGCTTTGCAGAGGCAACTGAACCTGGCGTTGCTTTCCTCAAAGTTGGTGACACCGCTCGCATGAGGAGCCCCCTTGCCTGTCAGTGGCCCCGTGCGTGTTGTCCTCTATGCAGGGCCAGCGATGTTGGTGTCCTCCCCAGTTTCCAGTTAGGAAGGACGAGGCTGAGAGGTGTGAGGCGGGGTGGAGGGCGGGGACGCAGGACCGGCTGTGTCAGCCTGGCCTTCCTGTGCGTGTGTATCTAGAACTTTCTGGATCTTTCCCAGAGGACCAGGAGGAAACATCACCGGCTTTAATGAGCGGCTGGCTCGAGGGCATGGTGACGGTGGGCAGTGTCTGAGCGTTTGATCCTTGGTTTCCCAGGCAGGCTGGGGCCTTCTGTGGGACACGCCCTATGCTCCCTGACAGGTCCACAGCCTACTGGCTCCAGCAAGCTGTGCCCCAGGTCCCTGTCTCCTCTTAGGCCTCAGTTCCCCCTCCAGGGTCAGTGACCCTAGAGTCCCCTGTAGCTTTGTCCTGCAGGGCAAGGCAGGACCCTGGGACGGTCAGCGAGCACAGTGCTGGTGGCAGCTGGCTTTGGCACTGGGAATGTGGCCTGAACTTGAAGTGGGGCATGTTCCACCAGGCAGGGGCTTGCTCTGGGCTCTGGGCCCCGAGTGCTGAGCCCTGGGCCCTGGGCTGGGGCTCCCCTGCCAGGAGGGGCATGATGAGCAGGTGGAGGGCTGTGGGAGGTGCTTCTCCATGGTGGTATAACCTGGGAAGAGGGGGCTGAAGGGTACTCTGGGCTGTTGGCAGGTAAGTCACATGTTCCACAAACTTGCTATCTTAGCTATCGGAAGTGCACACCTTCGTGGCATCAGTTCTGTTGTAGTGTCTCGTAACTGTCACTACCGCCAGTTCCAGAACTTTCGATCACCCAAAAATAGTCACACCTGGCCCCTGCCTCAGCCCAAGAGCCCCTGAGGTGCCTCTGTCTGTCCTGAGGTTTCCTGTGAAGGAAATGGTGCAGTCCGTGGCCCTTCATCTGGCTTCTGTCACTGAGCAGGGAGTCTTGTGGTGGCCTGGGCTGGAGCATCACCCTCTGGGG